GGCATGACTAACACCAATAGGACGTATAACATGATATTACACTCAACGCACTTATACATGCATGCATACATACATACATATATACATTCATACTCTCTTGGCAAAAAAAAAATTACATATATATTTATATTGATTTTAATGGTTACTTAAATATTTATTCATCGTTGGGTATTATTATTTTAACCATGTGATATTGATAAGATGGTTGTAATAAATTAGATAATTGACTAAAAAATGTATAACTACTAATGAGATTGGATTTTTATTACGTTACATCATCAAATTTTTATATTTGATAAGTAAAAAAAATATAACCATTAAAAGCTCGCGTGCGCGCGCGTGTGTGTGTACGCGCTGAGAAACGTGATTCTTGGACTACGAATGCAATTGCAAAATGCCCGAAGTACAGTACTTCTTGGGGATGGAGTTTTTTGCAGGGTGGCTGTTGACATGAGGAGTGTTTCTGTTTTTTGCTTAAAACCACCAACCGCAGTGCCTAATGTCAAGGCTCAGTCATGGGAATGTTCATAGGGTCCGGACCGTAACATATGCATTATATAAAATCAATTCCCTAGGTAATCCAAAACATTTTCATTATTCTTATGGGGCGATGACAATTTAATTAATCACTAAAAAGCCCTTTATAATTAACAAAGATAATGATTTCTCTAAACCGAAAATTGGAAGATAAATAATGTACCAAACGGCGTAATATCTCAAACTTCAAAGAGGAACAAAAACATAATGCTCAATGTAATTTGGTAACTTTAAAAATAAAATAAAAAATCTATTTCAAATTGAGGTTCAAGCCAAGTTAAGTTTCTAGTGAGATTGAGAATCCATTTGAATATGAATAGAACTATATAGTGATATTATACCGTATATTAACATGTAAGAATACACAATATATATATATATATATTATGAGCTGCGAAACTGCCGTCTATACATGTGATCAAAAACTAAGGGAAGGATAATTAAGGGCTTGTTGGATATTGTGCCGGCTTAGCCTTATCACATGCAATAATAGGACTTTGCTTCAAATGAGAATTAAGAAGTTGCTAAGCTTTAAGCCATATTTTTGGGGATTATTTAGAGATCCTATGCCTGCTTTAAGTGCATTTTAAGTTGAAGAAAACCGCAGTCTTTTCATACATATCTCTTGCGCAGTTCCTAATATGTATTCTTTGTCCGCATAGGAAATTACAACGAGTTTTTGTACTAATCATTTAACTCGGACGTACGATAACGAAAATGCCGAAATCTATGAGTTGGTTTTCAATATGCATGTATTACAGGGCTTGATTTAATCCTTCCCAAAATCCTAATTCTCTTATTGGATAGATTTTTTTAAACCTGATTCCGATACTTTGTGAGAAAGAAATGCAAATTAAGCTTTGACTATAAGCTGGTTTCGTGAGAAATATTCATCCAATAATGCGAGGATCCCAGGCAGTTCCCACGGATTGTGCTCCGCTGAAAACAAAAACAAGCCTTATTTTGTTTCGCAAGTATTCACGTAACCTAGAAAATTTGTATATGCATGCATATTTACACGTATATGCTCGCAGTAAATAAATTGTATTTATTTGACTTCATAAAAAATTGTTTTGGGAGAATTAATTGATTAGTAATCTAAAATTATTATTATTATTATTGTTCCCTTCTTATAGCACAACACAAATATATGCAAATATAGAAAATGATGAAAAACAGTTTTTACATGAGTATCTCTCTAGTGTATGTGTAGTGTCAAATTTTGAATTCGGAGTAGTTTTCTAGTTTTATGCTGCTGAAATGCTAATTAGTGCCCATTTTGGACAATTAATGTAAAATTTAGGAGGCAAATATTTCGGGGACGTTTTTTTTTTTTTTTTAAGATTTGTCTCTTTCCCGTCTAGATTGTGTTTTGTTATCAGATTTTGTTTTTTGTTTTTTTTTTTTTTTTTTTTCCTTTTGCACTCAGAAGCGATAATAAAAAGATATCATACCAATCATATACACCTTATGATTTGTTTAGTAATTGTCATCGAAAGTATCATATAGCAGGTTATTGACGGTAAGCCAACAACTACTTTTACGGTAATGGAAATGTATAATGTGTTTCTAATGAAAACTTCTTGTGTTACTGATGGTGGTTTATGTGTAATTAGCACTAGAGGCATCAAGGTGCTGTTGTATTACTGATAGTACTCTATTCTGTTACCAATTGTAGTTTACAATGCTACAAGCAATTCTAACAAAATACTTAAAAAAAACAAAAAAAACAAAAACAAAAAAAAACAAATGCAAAGGAAGACCTCAACAAAATATCTTATATGCTCTATGCTCGATCATTTCTTGCTTAATCCAGTAAGAAATGCTCTATGGTCGTTGCAATACCCTTATATATTATGGCAGGATACAATCTGTCCTCGGAATTTATAGTATCATATTATGTTACCTCTATGTATCATTTTAGTATATCGTGGATCGCTACAATGTTTATTATCACATTGTGATTCCTCTATGCATCATGGTAGGATACCATTGGTCCATTCGTCAGTAGTCAGTGGTAACCGGTTATTAGACTTTTTAGTACTACTGTGTAATACACTAAATAGCACAGTAGGTTGTTATGGGTTACTGCTGACATTTGCAGAAAAGTTTAGGTCCCGTTTATTTCATCGATTTGAGTTTAGAATTCGAGTTTTACTACAGTAAAAAGCTCTCAGAAACAATCATATATAACTTTTTGACTACAGTAAAAAGCTCTCACATAAAATCACATCTTAACTCAAATTAAAAACTCGAATCAGCGAACTAAACGGCCTTTTAATTTTAAAACACTATACCTCTATGTATCATAGTAGGATATTGTTAATTGCTAATATGATAATATCAAGAGTATACTCTCTTCTAAATATGATGGCATGGTATGTCATAATATTCTCTGTAAATACTTTTGAGGCCCACCAGTTTCATTCTTATTCGAAGATAAAAAGAGTAAGTAAATATGGAATTAACTCTTACTCTTAACTCTCAGTCTCCAATCCTGATAAGTAAACAAGTAAACGTGTCATTTGTCTTTCTTGGATGATGAAATGAGGCTGATCACTTTCATCCTCTGCACTATTTCACTTTCATTTTGCAAGCTGAGAGTTTGCTAGCTCTTCTTGGGTCCACGGAGTGATTTTGTACCTCTTTTGGTGTTTGCTTGGTCCAATATACTCAATTACACCTGTGCTGCAACTTAGCAAACAAAAGGGCATTTTTGAGTTTTAATTCATAGACCAAGAAAATGCCAAAAGCAGGGAAGGTATTATTTGGCCAATGTTGTGCAAACCCCACCACTATCCATGACACATAAAACTTCGGAATTCCAAAGCGTTCCCCCCTAGAATGAGTATTCCATGCAAGTGGAGTATATTATGGCATCATTCACTTCGCAGATTCGAGTTTTCAATTCGAGCTGAGATGTGACATTTTTTTAGAGTTTTTCACTGTAGTAAAAAAATTTAGATGTGACATTTTCTGTGAGTTTTTTATTGTAAAAATCTAGAACTGAAAACTCAAATCGGTGAAATGAATGAGGCCGTAAAAACCTCGTTATTTCAAAGATCCACTTTTGATGAGAAAAAGGCCGGAGGCTAATTGGGGTCTCTAAACATGGCCAATTAGACAATGGGATCTGCTTCTCCCTAACTATTGCAAGTGCTCATTGGCGTCATTGTGCATTCATGTCTTTTTTTTTTTTTTTTTTTTCACACTTACCCTTTTATGTGTGTGGTCAGTAATATGTCCTTTTCCCACGATTAATATATGGTCCCCCTTTTTTTTTGTCTCCTATATTGGATCTCTCCCTGACTGAGCACACCAAGTGGTTGCAAATTCTTAGGCCTTTAGCTGTCGTATTAGGCTAATCTTTAATGAGAAAGTTGTTGAGTTTACCCTTGGATTGTATGACATTTATTTTTAATTAATATCTTTTTTAGTTAAAAAAGAACTTAATTAAGAATAAGAGATAAAAATATAGACTTATACACTTTATACACTTTAAGGAGTATTTGTCTTCTTTTCCCTAAATTAGACGTCAATTTTTGAGTTCATTATAGGTGTGGAATAATCCCAAATTGGGACCGAGGGAGGAAAGCAATGAAAGCTTGTGTGCAGGAGGTCCAAGATAGAAAAAGAGATATTTTTTTTCCCTTATTGTTTTTTATATTTTCTTTATTTTTTTTTTTTGAAGGATGTTTTGATCATTTAAATCAAGACATAGTATTAATTTAATGGTGTACATTTAATGAGATTAAAAATTAATGGTAAAAAGAAGATAAATAATTTCAGAGTATAAATGTAAATACAAGATATAAAAAAGATAACTAACCTCAAAATACATATATTTTTTTCCTTAGTTAAAAAATCTACTATTAGAGTGAAAATATTAAGGTGTAAAAAAATCAATTAAACTCATTTTTTGGTGTTAAATAAGGGTTAAACCAATATTTTCTACATTATATATTAGAGAAATACTAACACAACTATTTTTATTATATTTTTTGTGACTCATTACATTTATATTCATTATTTGACACGTGAACTCTATTATCTCATATTTTATTTAAATAATAATATATTAGAGAATGACAAAAAGAAATGATTGTAGTGTTTCTCTATATATAGCTTAGAAATATTTTCCTGAGACGAAGGGGCAAATTTTGGTATTTTAAAAAGTTCACGTGTCAGCCAAAAATGTCGTTTCTTCTTGAACTGATATTTGAATTGGCTTTTGCTTTTTTCCTTCTCTTACTATGAGCCATTTTCAAAAAATTAGAGGCACGAAAATTGATCCAACAATCTCATCCTTCCCGCCTCCAAACCGCCTACATTGTAGGGTGGTACTGGATCGGTAAATTTCTCTTTGAGACTTCATTTTGCCTTTTTCTTGTTTATTGGTTTGCCCATGCTGAACTTTTGTATATAACAGAGAGAGAAATGAAATAAGCAATTTGATGAAAGCAATGTACAGGCGAATCCTACGTCAAACTCGTAGGTATTTCACATGCATTTCACACCCAGAGTCCAAGTTACCACATACCAACTGCCCAAACTTGGTAAAACCGTTTATAAATTTCCCAAGAACTGAAGAGGCTCTTACAAACCATTTTCTATCAATTTTGCAAGCTTGTTGTGATCATGCTCTTCTTCAACAAGGTAGACAAATCCATGCCCAGGTCATTGCTAATGGAATCAGCAGAAAAAATCTAATTGGTACAAAGATTTTGGCTGTGTATGTTCTTTGTGGAAGCTTTTTATACGCTAAGAATGTATTTTACCGGCTCGATTTGCGCTTTGCTTCGCCTTGGAATTGGATGATTAGATGGTTTACCATGATGGGTTTGTTTGATGTTGCTATAATGTTGTACTTCAAGATGTTGTGTTATGGAACTTCCCCTGACAAGTACACTTTCCCTCCTGTGATTAAAGCCTGTGGTGGTTTGAACAATGTGAGATTGGCGAAACGTGTTCATAGCACGGTTAAATTGATTGGTTTGGAGGTGGATGTATTTGTGGGCAGTTCTTTGATAAAGTTATATGCAGAGAATGGTTTTATTCAGGATGCAAGACAGTTGTTCGATAAAATGCCTCACAGAGATAGTGTTTTGTGGAACGTCATGCTCAATGGTTTTGTGAAGAATGGAGATGGAAAGAATGCTGTGGAAATGTTTTTGAAGTTGAGAATTAGTGATGTGAAGCCCAACTCAGTGACATTTGCTTGTATGTTGTCTGTCTGCGCGTCAGAACAGTTGGTTCGTTTTGGTACGCAGCTCCATGGGCTTGTTGTTAACTCTGGGTTGGAGTTGGATTCTCCTGTTGCTAACACATTGTTGGCTATGTACTCAAAATGTCAGCACTTGTCTGATGCGCATAAACTGTTCGACTTGATGCCAAAAACTGATCTAGTGACATGGAATGGGATGATATCTGGGTATGTGCAAAATGGATTCATGATTGAGGCTTCAAACTGTTTTCATGAAATGATATCGGCTGGTGTGAAACCAGACTCAATTACTTTTGCAAGTTTTATTCCATCAGTTACTGAATCCGCAAGTCTCCACAAAGGTAAGGAGATTCATGGTTATATAATAAGACACGGTGTGCCCCTAGATGTGTTCTTGAAAAGTGCACTTATTGATTTATACTTTAAGTGTAGAAATGTGGCGATGGCACGCAATATTCTCAAACAAAGTACCACAGTGGATGTCATCGTCTGCACAGCTATGATTTCAGGGTTTGTGCTTAATGGGATGGACACCAATGCTTTGGAGACTTTCAGATGGCTACTTAAAAACAAAATGAGACCAAATTCTGTAACCCTGGCTAGTGTTTTGCCGGCTTTTGCTGGTTTGGCGGCTCTAAAATTGGGGAAGGAATTGCACGGTAACATCATAAAAAATGGGCTTGACAGATGGTGTTATGTGGGAAGTTCAATTACAGGCATGTATGCAAAATGTGGAAGACTGGATCTCGCCCGTCAAGTATTTAAACGAATTCCCAAAAAAGATGCTGTTTGTTGGAACACAATGATTACAAGTTGTTCTCAGAATGGAAAACCAGAAGAGACGATTGATCTCTTTTGTCAGATGGGGATGGAAGGAACCAAGTATGATTGTGTGAGTCTATCAGCTACCCTCTCCTCTTGCGCAAACTTACCAGCACTACATTATGGGAAAGAGATCCATGCTTTCATGATTAGAAGAGCATTCATCTCTGATGTTTTTGCCGGAAGTGCCCTTATAGACATGTATGCAAAATGTGGAAACTTAGAGTTTGCTCGCAAGGTCTTTAACCTTATGCTAGTGAAGAATGATGTTTCGTGGAACAGCATCATTGCTGCTTATGGGAACCATGGGCGCCTCAAGGAGTCTCTGGCTTTATTTCATCAAATGTTAGAGAAGGGAATCCTGCCTGATCATGTCACCTTCCTTGGCATAATCTCTGCTTGTGGACACGCAGGTCGGGTTGATGATGGGATCAACTACTTCCGTTATATGACGGAGGAAAATCAAATTCCAGCCCGAATGGAGCATTATGCTTGTATGGTAGATTTATTTGGGCGCGCTGGACGATTAACCGAAGCATTTGATATGATAAGGAGCATGCCTTTCGCACCAGATGCGGGGGTTTGGGGCACATTGCTGGGAGCTTGCCGAGTCCATGGCAATGTTGAGCTTGCCGAAGAGGCATCAAGACATCTTTTCGAATTGGACCCACAGAATTCTGGCTACTATATATTACTTTCAAACATCCATGCTAATGCTGGAGACTGGAAAAGTGTGCTTAAAATTCGTAGTTTGATGAAAGAGAGAGGAGTTAAGAAGGTTCCAGGGTATAGCTGGATTGAGATAAACAACAAAACCCATATGTTTGTTGCAGCAGATGGAAGTCATCTCGAGTCTGCTGAGATCTATTCTGTACTTATGAGTCTTCTTTTAGAGCTAAGAAGAGAAGGTTACGCTCCCAAACCTTACCTTCCAATGCATCAACAAACACTGGGGATGTGACTACTGGAGAAAATGTTTAACAATCTTTTGCATTCCAGCCATTTTTTTCCTTGCGTTGGAATTTCTAAATACGGTTTCTTAACTTGTTTAACAAAACCCATTTGGCATACGTCTTAGTCAGAATCTGAATTATAAAAGGCACTTTAGGGGAAAATAGATGATAGATTGTCGTCGATACGATTGTTTTAGTTGAGAGAACGACAAACGAATTTCTACCGGAGCCTTTCCAGTAGTGGCATTATGTATCATTTTACAGTACAACAATCTAGCCATTAGGAGACAACTCTTAACAGAAATCATGCTGCCAGAACTAATGCACCTTTTTTTAAAATTCGTTTTCTTTTTCTTTCATTGTGATGGTAACAAAACAAGATTTCCCTCTTATTTTCTCATGAAATGCTTTATAATATTTCATGTTCTCAACATATGTAAAAAATAAAAAAAAAAAAAAAAAAAAAAAAACACCCTGAGAGAGAGAGAGAGAGAGAACGGCCTGCCTCTACATCTGCATAGTTGAGCTGTTTCTGCCCCTACTTCTTATGGACAATTCTATTGAATGAAGCTTCTTCATCTCCTTTCACCTTTTCTGGAAGGCTTCAGGATGATTTCGGTGCTCCTTTTTTTTTCTTTTTCTGGCCGTTTACAACTGAACTGAAATGTCAAATTTTTTTATGAATCGTGAACGTTATAATCGATAATTCAACCAGCCAAGTGGTTTTACCGCGTATATGATCTTTCTGAACTAAAAAGCAAGAGAAAAAAGGTAACAGAAAGAATCTGTTTCCGGTCAGCATTCGAGGTTTAACCGAAAAAACGAGGAAAAAGAAGTATCACGTCAGAAAGTGGTTCCTTGGTTTAAAAAGGAGAGATGCCAGACATGAATTAGATCCTAGCACTGCTGCCATTAAGGAGGAAGGTCCAAGCACAGTAGCAATAACAAGTAAAAACGATGGAAATAGGCTCGAGAACAATATTTCACCATTAATGCGGGTAGCATATTTGGTGAAAATAGGTGCCTTTGGATCACCGGTTTGTCACCTGGACGAGAACGAATATCTCAATTGCCGCAAATCTTTTGCCCATAAAGTTTAAAATAAGTTATTACAATCGTCCAAATTTATATCATAGTGGGCGGTGGGTAGTATGGCTCTGTGATCCTGATCGTTATTCAAATGGGGATGATCGTGTTTTCAACATGGTTTCTAGCAATGGCAGCATAGTAAGAAAGGATTATTATCACCATTAAGATCATTTTCAATTTAGCTCCTGAATTTTAAAAACTTACATTTGATTCTAAATTTTGAATTGAGAAATTTTAATGCCTCGTTCGTTTCGCTGATTTGAGTTTAGAATTCGAGTTGAGATGTGATTGTATGTGAGAGCTTTTTACTGTAGCAAAAAAGTTAGATGTGATTGTTTGTGAGAGCTTTTTACTGTAGCAAAACTCGAATTCTAAACTCAAATCAGCGAAACGAACGAAGCCTAAACTGTTCTCACTTAATCTCGTGTTGAAATTTCTGCTTAAAAACAAATAGAAAAAAGAGAATAATACATTCATGTCGTATTTCTGTTTAAATATCTATGAAAAGCAAACGGATAAAAATCAAATGAGTACACTTAATCCTTTTTTTCAAGTTTAATTTAACAAAAAAATTCTTAAAAAAGGACTTAAGGTTCAAGGGCGATTAACCCTAAAAAAGAAAGTGAAAATTACTTTCAAATCGACCATTTAAAGCTTCCAGCAGGATGAACTAGTCTTGTCACAAAACTTTCAAATCGACCACTTGCATACTTCACCCGATTCCCCAAATAGAACCAACATGGCAGAAATCCCATCGTGTTATAACTATCATATCAATTACAACAATCATGGGTATTTGTAAACCCGATAACATAAACTAAAATCAATCGTGTAACAGCAAAGGTAACATTTTTGGTGAACCCGATGAATTATTAATTGGTGAAGATCCGAAATGACAAAACGCTAAATATATTATAAGAGCATTCAATCAATAAGTAATTTTCACTAATAAAACGACCCAAATACTCAAAAGGTAGGAAAAACCCCATAACATTAGTACAGTGTTTCGAACAATGGTATCCATACAATATCCTAAACCAACAAAACTGATTGATTAACAAACAAGACATTTAAACTCGGTTCATAAAACAGATAGAAATGCAAATCTTCTTCCAAGTGACCAATCTCTTGTCATCTAGAAGTCCTGAGAAACTGCAAGATAATATCAAATGCAAGTATTAACGAAACTACAGAAACAAGCACACAGATTCTATAATGGAATTTGCAACCAAATTATGCACAACCGGCAACCAATATAAGACATAACTTGTTTGACATACAAATATAACCATTACACTTTCGTGTAATAAGTTTATATAGATTAGCCTAGCAACATCATATAAAAAGTTTTCCCTTCAATACTAACAAACTAAGAAGAGCAAAACAAAAATTACGAAAAACTAACCTTAAATGTTGCTGGGGTACATGAAAACTCTTACTCTAGCACCCTTCAAAAGCAAGCAGAAAAAATAATATAATCAGAAACCCATTATTAAAAAAAAAAAAGGAAAAGAGACAACATTTTGCAAATCCCATATACAACATTTTGCAAATCCCATATAACAATACCATAGATTTAGGGGGCAGATTGGACTTGAACTTGGCACGAACAACACCGCTGTTACCATGAGGCCTTGCAACCTTGCCCCAAATGCAGCGATAGTGGGACCCATTCTTCTTCACCTTGGCCTTGTAGATGTACGCCATGCGCTTTCCACGGTACCAATCCACCTCCTCCTTGGTGTTCACTCCCTCAATCTGGATCAGAGACGTGTTTGGATACTGGTTCGACTTCGACCTAAACCAACCAAACAATCAAAAACCAATCGCCGATTCAACTACCACCTAAAATCCCTATCCTTTTCTCTTCCGTTTTCTCAGCAGCCAAACAAGCAAAAAGGGCCAAAAAAATGAACAAAAATTTTGACAAATCAAGACGAATCACCTCTTGTATCCGAGGATTGTTCCTCTGACGTAGAGTCTGACACGCTCTCCTTGGCGTCCCTTCACCATTTTCAATTAGGGTTTCTTTGCTTCGATCTTTGTTCCACAGGAGATAGTAACCAGAGTCACCGTCACCGAACTGAAAGTTCAAAACCCTAATCTGTAGAAGGTGAAGATTTAGGGTATTTATACTGACCATGTTCAGTTTATAGACGCGTGTTGTGCTCCGCAAGCCCTCAGCGTGGGTGAGAACGTCTGTTGGGCCGCCAGATATTTAGGCCCAAACAAGGGGGTATAACTCATTTTTGGCGTATTTTACCTCTTATTTTTTTAGAGAAATGGTAGTAAATAGGCCTGTTTTTATATTTCTGTATTTTGTTCATGGATTAAGAATTATGATTTAAAATTTTTATATATATTTTTTATAGAAAAAAATATTATAGCGAACCATAAACTATTATTCAAATTATGACACGTATACACTAACCAAACGCACCCATTTACTAAATATTATAAATTAATACGTCATATTTAGTTTTAAAATGATTCATTTTACCTTTTTACCCATATTCCTTAAATTACTTTTCTCTCTCTTCCTCTCTCCTTCTCTTTTGACGTCTCTCTCTTTGACTTAAAGTATGTCTAATACAATAGTATAATTAAATTGCTAATTGTAAATTTAATATTTGAGTACGAAAAATATTTTCTAATGCAATGATATTTATTGTGTTAAATTTTTTATATGTTATACTTTATGGTAAATTTCTCACATGCGACAGTGTGAAAGCCATAGCCACATGAGTACCAGATTCAACGTTCTTCCCCTCTCTTTCGTCGCCTATCTCTCTCTTCCTTACGAAATCGGGATTGTAGATTGGAAACAGCTCATTGATCTCTCTCTCTCTCTCTCTCTCTAGTCCGCTGGAGATGTCGAATCTCGCTGGAGATCTAGTCCCGCGAAGCCACAGGAGATCGCGAAGCCAATCGCACATAGGAGATGGCGAGCTTCGTTGCTCGCAAAGCTGCATAAAGGAGAGATTGCTGGAGCCAATAGGGTGACAGATCTCGCAAACGTATGCGTAGGAGCCGATTTGCAGTCGACGGCAATAAAGAGAGAAAGAGAGAGAGACACACTCAGGAAAGAATTTGGACTTTTTTTACGAAAGAATTTTTTGTTATTTGAATTTAGAATTTTTATTTTAATTTAGGGGTATTTTCAGATTTTTAATTGAGGATTTACACTAAGTTGGTCTATTTACTAACTCTTTTAAAACTTAGGCCTATCAATTTTTACTCCATTCTTAAATGGGCATATTTCTCTCTTTCACCCTATTTTTTATTAGTATCCTTTAATTAATATAATTATTTAACTAAAAATATTAATAAAAAATAAGGAGAAAAAATTAAGACTCATACACTTTGAAGGGGTATTTATCAAAATTTATCATATGGTAAATTAATACGGCTCATTTACCACTTATGGAATGTAAATTAGGACCCGTTTGTTCATATACTCAAACTCAAATAATTGATTCTGCTACGGTATTTTTCTCTCATAAAAAATATAAAGTTCAAATATTAAAATCAAGAATCATTGTTTGAGTATATCTTTCAAAACAGGCTCTAAATACGGTCTATGTCAAATTATTGAATGCATCTCAATTTTTACGTATTTTGTATTATCCAATAACAGATTTATGATTCATGTTGGGATTGGGCACAAATGGAGTCGGAGTTAGGCCAACATAAAGTCATGATGGAGCCTATAATTGTTTAAGAAATAAAGGGCATAATGCAAATTTATATTTTTTAAAAATTACATTTTGACCCCTTAATTTTTTAAAAATTACATTTTGATATCTTAATTTTTATAAAATTACATTTTGACCCAAAAAGTTAGAACAAATTTTATTTTGACGCCATTTTTTGAAAAATTACATTTTGACTCTAAAATTTTTAAAATCTTACATTTTAACCTCTTACAATATGTTATGACACTAAATACCATGTTGTATTATGAAAATAAAATACATTACAATACTCATATTTTGACCTCTTATACAATGTCATGACATCAAGCATTGTATTGTGTTAAGAAAATACAACACAATACAATACAAGCTACTAGACATGGCCTTAGTGTCTAGTGGCTTGCGTTGTATAGACCTAAATATTGCAACCTCAAATTTCCATAGAGATGTCCTAGTGAAAAATCGCTCAAGCTCTGACAAGGACTATTGTTTCTTACTTTCTTCTTATTTTTAGGATTAATCTTATAAATGGTCCGTGAGGTTTACCCTTATTCCCATTTGCCACTTGGTCCCTAACTTTTAAATTATCTTACGGTTTGTTTTTTAGGCTTTATTCTGGGGATAATTAATGTACCTACCATGACAAACAGGGGAGGATCGACTTTGCCAGTGTGGGAAAAAATAACTCTTAGTATATCTGCCATGTGGCAGACAAAAATTGGGAGAACAAGACTACCCGTTTAGTTCACTAATTCGAGTTGAGATGTGACTTTATGTGAGAGCTTTTTACTATAGCAAAAAAGTTAGATGTGACTCTTTCTGAGAGCTTTTTACTGTAGCAAAACTCGAATCGGTGAAATGAACGTGACCTACACTCAATTAAGTTAGGGTGTGTTCCTTTCCCTCATTCATTGATCCTCTCACGTTTCTCCTTCTCTTTTCATCTCCCTTTCAACTGCAAACATCCTTAACCTCCACGCCTCCTACTCGCGTCGTTGTCATTATGCTCACCGCTGGCATACCCAAGCCGTTAGCTTCTCACCCATGCGATAAGGAGATATCTCACGCAGATCGATCCTCCTCTGTCAAGCACAAAGTGCGACGCACGAAGCCTCTCCTCTTTTGCGTAGCGGATTTCAGAGATTGTGGAAAATATATGATCTCTTCCGCGGAGATCGTCTGCCATCGGTCACTGAGACTCAAGGCAATCTCGCCTTCGTGAAGCTCCACCATGCCAAATCATTGTTGTGAAACCATTCGCGTCGTTGATGTTGGGAATCTGTGGAATCATTATATTTGAGTTTTCTTTCATTGTTTTGATTGAGATTTGTGTTTTTTAAAAGTTATTTTTTGTGTTTTTTGTGATTCCGAAGAAATTGTGAGTGTTTGGTGCGAAGACTGCAGCCATTACCGATGGTTATTGGTCGGTATCTCTACAAGGATACCGTTGGTAACCGACCAGGATACTGTCGATAATTGGCCGCTATTGGCCTATTGCAATTGGATACCAGTAATTTTGAGTGATTTTGATTTTTTTTCCTTCTTTATGGGTTTTTAGTATTTCAGAAGTGGTGCCACAGCCAGCAAACTGTGGTGACTGGTGGATACCAGATGGTAATTGTGCGGTATCTAGACGAATACTTCCTGGTAATACTGGCGGTTGTTCATCAAATACTATCAGGTATCTCAGTTGGATACTGCTTTTATAGTTGGATGCTGGCGAGCATCTTGTTCGGTACTGGTATCGTGGCTAATTACTGACCGATATTCTAAAGGTATATTTTATATCCTAAATATAGTGTGATGAAATGGTTGTGGTATTCTTTACAATAGTTTATGTCCTCTGGTATATGTCAAATCAAGCCTAAAACTTGTAGCAAAACCTTTAAAGTCTTTTATTTTGTTTCAGTTTCAATCCTTTTATTGGGCATGTGTTAGATATTTGAGGGAATATGTAGAAATTAGGGACTAAAATTATAAACATATATCTAAAGTTTAGGGACTAAAATAATACAAAAAAAAAAACAAAAGTTATTCACCCAGATAGTTTCTAAGTTTTAGTTGTTTCCAATTTTGGTCTCTAATATGCACAGATTTCATCAAATATTTAATATATAGTTAACAAAAAGACTAAAATTGAAACAAAATAAAAACTTAAGGATCAATTACGATACGTTTTAAAAATTGGATACCAAAATGAAATTGAGAGTAAATCTCATGGACTTGGAAGTAACCTTTATTATTATTTTGGTGGAAAAAGGACTATTGTTTATCATATGATCTGATATGTCTGCTTATTATATGCTGCAAAATGTGTCAATGTTGGACGAGACCTTAGCATTGAGATAAGTCCTTATTAAGTACATTAATTTTAGTTCGATTAGTCTTTTTTTTTCAGAAACTCTCCCACGTACTCGGTGTGTCCGGAAGTCATATTAATAGTCCCTTTGTGTTTCCTCTTTTCCATGAGAGTTGTTGCGAACAAGATCATATGTTCCAAATCATGGGCTCCATTTTTATTCTACAATATGCATGCATTTTTGTTGTATCATCGAATTATCCATAATTAATCGCTCAGTACTAGACCTCTTAAAATTTAGAGAAATTAAAGACTACGTTTCAAAAAGGAAAGAAAAAATTGTTGTGAAAAATACTAAATATTGTATACTCTAGTAAATCTGATAGGAATAAAAACTAACGAGTCTATTTACTCTAACTATTTACCATTAAATATTGTACTTAAGCAGGAGTAAATAAATATTTATTAATAAATATGCTATTTAAAATTTACCGTAATCGTCTCAAAAACATGTTGCTTACTAAACCATTCTTAAAGTATCTTATTAGCCTCTTTGTCCCATGTTAATTACAATATAGATGCTTCTAAAGTAATTAAAAAATTTTCCTAATATAACGTATTAATATAGTAGACAACATTGTCTTCTTATAATTGTGTTTTGTAAATGTCCGGAGTGTCGAATTCTTGTTAGACCTTCTAGAAGCTATATTTGCAGGGTGTACTGCTTGATCTTATCCAACTTTATTTTATTTTATTTATTTATTTATTTATTATTATTATTATTATTTTCGATTATGCCAATTGAGACTGTTTGGCGATCTAGAAACTCAAAAATCCAGAGAAGTGAGAGAAAAGCTCCATAATGAGAGCTTCCTCTAACTTGTTTTGTATTGCATAGTCAAAATCCTTTCCAATCGTGTTATTTTGGCAAATAAAGAGGACTTAAATTTGTCACATATATAGTCTCATTTATTTCACCGTTTTAAATTTAAAATTTAAATTTTATTATAGTAAAAAAAATTTTAAAAATAATCACATTTCATTTTTTTATTACAGTAAAAAAACTCTCAAATAAAATCACATTTTAACTTAAATTAAAAACTCAAATCAGCGAACTAAACAAGAATGTCT